AAATATTTATATAGCGATTTAACAATCGAGGAGTATGAAAGAGCACGAATAGCAGATTGTAATAGAATTATCCGTTACGTAACGTGGAATTATTACAGATATTGTTTGCTCCGTTTAAATTTCCGTGCATCCATAATCCGCGAAGCGAAATTTAATTTGTCATTAGAATTTTGAAACGCATTATATGCCGTGGTGCTTCGAGAGTAGTGACGCGCAATCGACATGACATTTACATAAATGCTTTGAGCAGGTGTAGCGGACTGTAATAAATGTAACCTTGCTAACGTTTGCATTAACATCGTCTAAAAGAATCGAATCGTTTAAAAATTGTGAAATCTTGAGTCTCCGCAGAAGTGGAAATCTTTGAAACGATTCTAGCTTCTTGTGAACTCCAATTAGTCATTCGCGGCGATCGAGTAAATAAAATAGCGTTTGTCTGGTATTCAATGTATTCCATATTTGGTTATTCGTTGTGATCGTACGTGTTCGAAAGTAACGCCTCTCTCGAAAAGATTCAATGTTTATTGCGATATCGGTCGCGATAACTTTCGAAGAATCCTCGTACAAATCGGGAAGTCGATCGCTTCGAAGTGAAATGTTACGTTATTATTTTTCTGGAGTTCTGCCAGCCGAACGCGAATCTTGTGGAAGTAATGAAAATTTGTTCTTGAAAGTTTCATTTTGGGGTCGCCGTTTTACTCGCGTTTCTTTATATCGATACTGTTTACTGGAACGTACCTACTCTATGTATATTTCCATCGCTACGTATTTGTTACTAACATTCTGCATGTCGTGTTTCGTTCGTTAAATTTTTCAATTCATTTAATTATTTTAAAATACTTATTTTAATACGTTCTAAAAATATATTTTATAGATTCATGAGTTCTTCTATGGGTTTAATCGGCTCTTCTACCTCTGTTCATATGTTCGAGTAAAAATTGAAGTGGAAGGGTTTGAACAAAGTACACACACACATATGCCACCGGTTTTACAAGCAATATATGGATAATATTTTAATCTGCGTATACAAAGGCAGCGTCGACCACAACATTGAGGTTTTCGACTCGATACATCCATGATTAAAATTCTCTATAGAATACGGAAAACAACAATCAAATTTCGCGGATATTCTCATCGTACGAAACAACAAATTAACTCCATACTGGTTTCTCAAAAAAGAAATAAAAATATGACTGATATTTAATTCAAATATAATTTGTAATATTATTCTAACCGAGGATAATAGTTATTTATAGTGTAATGTATCAAAATGTATATTTTTATTTAATTGCTGCTTCGTTAAAATATACACCAAAAGATATTTATAGACTTACTTTGTTTAAAATCGAACGAGATCTGAACGCGAGAATATAGAAGTGTAATAAACGCGGATAACGCGTTATTTTTTAAATAGGATGTTAATTTCTCGGCTCAGTCGCGTAAAGATTGTCCCATAAATAAGTGAACGTACAACGTAGAACTTTATACTGTTGCGTACGATGTTGTTGGGCCGTTCGTTCTCGCGAAAATTGGTAATATTAATGGGGAACAGGGCATCAGAGGAAGAAACTTTTGCCCATTTATTAATCGCCGACATGACGAAGCACGATTCTTTTTCCCTTTCCGTATTATGAGGCGAAACCTTCCACTTTTGTCCCGCGGTAATTTTTTCTTTCCGTTCCTCCACCCCACTGTACAACGATGCGCTTTTACGTTATGGCAATTCATTCTTACTTACAGCAACGCATCCGTATACCCCTGTGCCTTCGCGCGGAAGTGTGAGTCTTGAAAATGAAAAGTCAGAAAGACAAATGTACGATATCAACAGGTTTACGTGTATTTCGTTCGCTTTTTTCTCTCATTAAACTTCGTTTTACGCGAAGAAATAAACGTTAGGAACAGATTTATATTCGAGGAATGCTTAATTTACGACTTCCGTCGCGCGGAGGGCTCGATAAAAGCGATATCGGTTCGCGAGACACGTATTCCGATTAAAATATAGGAATATAGGCGACGAGAAAGACGTGCTTATTTAGCTTTCAAATTAATTAAAATCTCTCGATGCTCGTACGATTTGAGAATCTCACGTTTCTTTCGATTATGAAGCTTCCTTTTTAAAGAGTGGTTTATTATAAAGCTTTTAGCTTTTAGAAGTTCGATTCTACTTAAAGAGTTATATTATACTTAACTAATTAAACAGAAAGTGGACACATAAATCAACGATTCATGTAACTAAATTATAATGTATATATATGTTCGTAACTGAATAAATAAAGAAAACTGTATTTAATTTGATAAACAAAAAATATCATTTCTGAACAATTTTACTTAATTTACGAAAAATATAATACAAATGTGAACCAACGTTTGAAAACTGATGTAAAAAAAATACAAATCATTTCGAACGTTCGAAGGACACATTAGACCAGCTAAAAATCTAGTTTTAATTGTATCGCAATAAGTACTCCTTTAACGAAAATGTCGAAGCTTATTCTACGAGCCTCGAAGCGGGAACAAACGCTTAATTTATGGAGTAGTTCGTTTCGATAGGAAATATTTCTGACAAATGGAAATTTGGCGAGCATTTAAACAGGTAGCGATGAAATTCCCACGCGTGATTGTCATTGCAGTCATTATGTCATCAAGGAACGGAATTCTCTTAGGTCTACTCCGCTCCCCGAACACAATGGAACAAACAAGCATTTACCAATTGTGCTATGCTCAACAATAACTTGCTCTTCACGGTGCGGTTTGAATAGCAACAATGTACAATATGCCTCGGAATACGACGGTTTGATTTCTCTGGGCATTGCCCCGACCAGTAACGTTGCTCAGACAAAACGTTCGTTATCTCCTCGCGCAAATCAACCTATCCCCGGATCGATATTGATTTTTAGCTTTCTTCTGTCGCGCGAATTGCCCCTGGAGCGATCTCGTGCGACCCTCGTTTCAAGCGAATCGATCTAACGAACGCCAGAAGCGGGTTACTTTACTTGCAAACTCTCACAACGCCGTCAACAGATCGTTTTTTTTTTAGTTATCCTTGACTATTCTTGAACTTTGTGCATTTTAAACGGAGAGTTTCTTTCTTCTTTACATAAAATTTTGATTTATTAAGAACCGTGAAATTTCTTGTGAGACCAAAACATTGATTTTAGGCAATTGTACGAGAGTGGTCCCAGAAGTACCCGACCTAAAAAAAAGAACACAAAAAATTTGGAAACAGATATCTTTGTCTTTCAACATAATCTCCTTTTAGCTGGGTACACTTTTCCCAGCGGTGTTCAATAACTTCGATATCCTGTTTATAGTGAGAACCATCGAACTCCTCAAAATAGCCATTAACCGCAGACTCCATCTTTTCATTATTGGAGAATCTTTTACCACCGAGCCATTTTTTCAAGTTTGGAAAGAGAAAATTCGCACTTTAACTCCTGGATTTTGGCCATCACGATAACGGATGTGTGAACTGGTGCATTGTCTTGGTGAAACAACACTTTCTTTTACGCCAAATGGGGCCGTTTTTCCTTGATTTTGTCACTCAAACGCTGCAATAAATTCGCATAATACTCGCCGTTGATTGTTTTTCCTTTATCAAGATAATCAATGAAAATTATTCTACGCGCATCCCAACAAACTGACGCCATGACCTTGCTAGCAGATGGATCTGTCTTCGCCTTCTTTGGAGCTAGTTCTCCTCTTACCTGATCCAGGTTTCATCCATGGTTATGAATCGACGAAAAAACTCGGCTTTATTCCTGTGAAACATCGCCAAACACTCGATTGAAACATCCTCACGACGCTGGTTTTATTCCATTGTAAGCAAGCGCGGCACCCATCTGCGCACAGCCTTCTCATATCCAAATTTTCACTCAATATGCGTTGTACAGCACTTTTGGAAATGTTTGAGTCCAATGTTTGGAATTCAGTCGACGATCGTCCAATACCGCTTAATGAATTTTCTTCACCATTTCCTGTGTGGTCACTTCATTTGATCGACCACTGCGGTGTTCGTCTTGGCAGCTCGTACGGCCTCGTTTAAATTCTGCAACCCAATATTTTATTGTTGTAAATAAAGGAGCAGACTCCTCTAGAGTAAAATCTAGCTCAATTTTGATATTGGTCGGACTGTGACTTTTTAAATGAAAATATTGTATCACATAACGATGGCCAATTTTTTTCATGTTTACAAATTCACTGAGAGCATTCACTATTAATGGCTGTCAAACAAATACTAAACAATGTAGCGTCTTCAAACTTGAAACTTAAGCTTTGTAAGGTTGATACTTCCGACCATAGTCATTTTTTTAAAACAATAACCGCCATATATACCTCAGGCCGGGTATTTCTGGGACCACCCTCGTAAATTGCATGAATTAAAATTTATTTCCATTAACATTTCAGCTTGAAAATAAATTGTTTAAATTCCAAAATAAGAAAATAGTCTGATGCGCAAAGAACAGAAGCATTCTCGAGACAATAAAGATTTAAAAAATACAATAGTAGCAAAATTCAACAGAAAGTGATTTTTAAATGGAAGAGAATGATCGCTGACGATCAAGCGTTTACTCGGTGCGTGTGTCATATTTCACAAAGAAGGTTCATTAATGTCGGAGTTTTTATGGGCGTGAACTCGGGAAAAGCAGTCCTGAGAAAAACGGCATTAAAGTTGAACACTGCGACAGACGTTTCTACCCGTACAAACGACTGTATATTCTGTATTAAAGTATCTTAGACCGAAATAGAGCGATTGTCTTAATCGTATTCTGCATCAATTGTGAACGAGAATACAGAAGAATGGGCAATTTTCACAAAAAATATATTATTATTGTATTCCATCATGGTGTTATTAATATAGTTATTTTCTTCTCGAAGAAATTTTTCTCCAACGATATCGACCAGTTTGCAACGAGCACTATGATAATAAAATAAATTCCCTTCTTCTGCAAGTAAATAATCGTCAAAAACAAGCTGAATTTTGCCTTTTCTGTTTCTTACAGGTGGCGTGGCTGCGAGTGGACACGCAAACAATCTTGACGATAGAGACTCACGTGATTACGAAGAACAGAAGAATTACAATAACCCACACTGATCACAAATCATGGCATCTGCACATACACGACGTGCGTGAAACCGATCGAGGCGCTTACATGTGCCAGATAAATACTGAACCGATGAAGAGCCAGACTGGTTACCTGGAAGTTGTAGGTTGGTTTTAATTTTATACAACCTAACAAAAATTATTATTCACGCTGATCTTTACATTAAAATCTTCACATCAACACTAGGACTATCAGAAGTGATCAAAATTGATTTGTAATTTCTAATCAAAATTGTAATAAATCTACTTGACAGGATTTTTGCAAATTTACTATGATTTTCTATGACAGAACGAATAAACATTTATTTACAAATAGATACACCATATGTTCAGGCTCGGTACAGCGAGCGAGTTTATGATATGGACGTGACTTTTCCGCTATTTTTGAGGATTAGGCCTTCAAGACATTTTTACTTGATAAATTAGGATACGGTCATTAAGGAACCTCCAAACTCCACACGGGACTTGGAATCCTTGGAGCTCTTCCTCGCCTCAATAGCGATTGACGTATCGTACACCCGCGTTGGCACACAGCTGCGGACCACCGGGGTCTCGCGATCATTGGGCATTTCCCAATGTTAATAATAATACAGCGTTCTCGCTCACTCCTGCATGGTCTACCTGGACACTGGACGGCAGGGTGGGCGGGAATGTTGCAAATTGTTAGGAACCGCCCTGCCAAGGTGACTATGATGAGGATTGGCTTGACCAATCCTCCCTCCGGTAGACAATGTTCGTCGTTGTCACCTTGGCAGGGGAAACCGAGGTTTCCTTATGGGAAAATAGAGAACGGTCAGATTGATTGATTAACTTGAACAGAGAAACAACCTCAATAATCAGTCTCCGCAGACTTCAGTTCTGCGCATCAGAAGCAACAGCTTCTGAGGGTTAAGGCAAAGGTTAAGGGCACAGAGTGGCTGTGCAATACGCAACGACCACGAGCAAGATTTGTGTAACCTGCGAATATTTGCTCGTGGCCAAAACACCATAATTGACTGTAGTTCTAACGTTAAAAGTTATAGTTATAGAACGGTATATCAGAATGTGTTTCGAACGTTACTTATTTCTATTTATTTTGCTACCTTCAGTTCCACCCGATATTTTGGATAATTCTACGAGCACCGACATGGTGATTCGCGAAGGAACCAACGTGACATTGCGTTGCGCAGCCGCGGGATTGCCAACGCCAAATATCACTTGGAGAAGAGAGGACGGAGAAACTATACGTCTGAGCAACGGAGAAGAAGGTAATAAATATATGTATACTAATGTTTTTGGTAGAAATTATTCACGAGATGATTCGATAATTATTTTATTTCTTCGCGAATAAATATTCGATTCTCCAATACATAGGGATTTTTATTCTTCTTCCAAACGGTTCCATTGTTCGGTGTTGGCGCTCACCGTGCCAATAAATTAGGAATAGTCGAATATACATATAAATAAAAGTTTCGTTGCAGATCACGATGATTAGCATTAATATCGACGAAATTATAGTAGAATTCGCAGCTTGGATAAGAGTAAGGTTTCGAGCTAAATAAAAATCTTTTCAGCTCGAAAGTGTAATAACAAAATATAAAAATCTGAGAAAATCAAGAACATAGTCCTGTTTAATTAACAATTTTGAACGTTGTAATTGATCAAATGAAAGTTGTTTAAAGTTATAACAATTTCGTCTGTGTAGAGAAACTATAACGCCTAAAAAAATACGAGTGAAATCGTTAGCCAATTTTTCAAGGTGCATTCGAACAATGGACACGTAATGGAAAATTGATCACTGGCTCCTTTCGAAGTTGTAAACGGCTAGTATTGTAAAAGCATCATGCGAGGCAGTCGTTGTTCGGTTGGTATGCCGTTGATGTCGGAATGAAATACATACTCTGCATTTTGTATAGTAATACCGAGTAATATCAACGGCATTATTCGTATACGCCGTGGCGCGATAAAGATTTATCACTCTTTTGTCTTTCGCGCTCGTCCGATTGTTATCAGCGCCATGTTCTTCTATAGGGAACTGTCTTGCCCCCGGCGAGAAAAATGTCTCTTGTAGTTTTAACGCTTCTCTGCGTGTATAGCGCGAGTCACCGTAAATTATCGTCTTTATTTACATACATTTTTTCCACGGCGAACGAAACTTCTATAAGAAGATTTACTGCCAAAATTAATCTATAAACGAGAGCGACCGTTTCGAAAGTCGGTCCGTCTTTCTTCTTGACCGCGATAACTAAGCGTTTGCGTTCCCAAAAATTCTGATAAAGTCTATATAGCTTGCACGAGTCTCTATTAGCATAAGTTTTTCAGTTATATCACTTTTCAGAGCCCATCATTGTATTTCATAAATTTAAAAGGAAATATTTACTTTAGGAAGAGTGAAAAAATTCAGGAATTATTAATTCGTATACATTAAACGTCTCTTTAAAAATTATTTTATCACCCAGTCGCCACTTTGGTTTTCCTACTATTTAATAACGCAGACTTTACTATATTGTACTATTAATTTTCGCAAAATTCCAAAGATAATCGTAAGTGATCGTTGTTTTGAAAAATAGAAAAAGAATGGACGATCAAGAACTGACACGGGTAACAGTCGTAGTTGGAAAGGAATTAATTAAAGCGGTTAACACGAATCGTATCGAGTGGTTTGGTTAGTGGTTTAGAGTTTATCTGGTATGCAAGTGATTACGGGCGGAGTCGACAGGCGTTTCAATAACATATATTGCTTTGTACAGAGATTAAACGCTTAGGCAGACAAAGTCAGAGCTCAACGAATCGAAAATTTAACCAGAAACGACCGTCGTGACCGCTTTTTAGTTTACCGCCGCAAGATTTACATTCGCCGAGCGCTCCGTGTACGATTACTATTGCAATTGGCGCAATTATTTTCACGGACACCGTCTGAAATCTTCCAACGAATCATCGACTTTTCTTATTATTGAGAGCTCGTGCAATGTGTTGCACGTCGAGAGCTCTTCTTGCACGTCTGTTGATATGCAAGGCGTTGGTTTGCTGTAGTGGACTGCATTTCTGTTGGACGTGGGCCCTCTCTCGTTCGTACGGTGTTGTGTGTGATGTTTCGACGTTTTGTAATTTGTCTCTTGTATGCTAAATCTTGCGCCTTATATCCTAATGCAAGAAGCCAGCCGCATCCAATCAGAACCCTTTTCGTTCAGGACTGGTGCGCTGATACTTCTTGCATTTCGTGTTTGCGAGGGTGGACCAAGCATCCCAGGTTTCGGGAAAAACCCTGGCCCAACGGTCAGGACCAGGTCGCGAGGTCGCTGGAGTGGGCCCTTTATGGCGGTTATTATGTGATTTAGTTTACATTGATACTAAAACCATTTAGCTAATGACTTGTAGCGTCAATGTAAACGCTGAATTGCTGTTATAAATGGAACGACACGTTTCGCGACGCAACACTTATCTCACGATGTTTTTAAATATTTTTAGATACGACAGATTCACGCTGTTTAAAATAATACTGGCGTTACAATTAATTCTACAGGATCGTCCCTGTAATTGGGGATGAGACGACTCTTTGAATACTATTATTTACATCCTGTTATCTGAATTTTAATCTCTTTAAGTAACAACTTTCAAACAACGATAGTAAAACGAAATATCGGTAACTTGGCGCCTTTCGTTTTCCTTCAATTCAAATTGCGTTCCGTGATATAATTTTCCTTGGGCACATAATCAGATTCTAAACGGTACAAGAGAACATAATCAAGCGTGTTCCTAGTAAACCACTGCGAGCAAGAAATCCCCGACAAACGTTATGCCTACAACACATTTCTCCGAGACTGTATTTACAGTATCAGATACTTACTCGGATTAAACAGACTAACAAAAAGCGTGTTTACGGTATCGATAGAAACAAACAGGCGGCTCGATTAGTGAATATTAATTTCGAGCTCGCCATTACGATGCTTTTGTGGCGCAAAATCAACGCCACTGTTCTCCAAATGAGTATTAATCTGCCAACAGAAACGATGAACCCGTTATACGTTCGAGTAAAAGCAATTATGTAGAAACTTTGAGTCGAAAAATTCGTTTACACGCGTCCAATACTTGTTAATTAATTTATTACAACGTCACTGGATTAATTTATGAACGTATCGTGAAACAATATTAATAAATAGTTTTATATTAGAAGAGTCTCATTTTAATGTAATCATTGACGTAATGGGTTTCAATCAAAATCTTCCGTTGGGTTTATCTATGGACGTTCATTAAGGTTTCATTTTATTTACAGAAAACTGTTTAATGAAATATTGTTTCGCATTATTTGCGATATTCAGCGTTGTTTCTAAAATACGGTGCAATTTGTGGGGTTATTTTTATTGTGTGGTATGCCTGGTGGGTGAGTGGGGAATGAATGAGTGTGGATGTTGGCAACGCTGGGGCGCGAGAGGGGGATGTGCGGAAGTCCCATGTATGGAGAGAGTGTGATGCACACGTGGAGAGAACATTGTGAAAAATATATATACGTTAATTTGTTAAACAGAAAGAGGCTCATTTAATTTGACTACCAAATTCCTCCTACAAGTGGTAGCAGAGAGTGGTTCGTAGTTTATAAAGTGTTTTTTATGTGTGAGAATAAACAATAAAGAGAAGAACAACACGTGCTGCGTAATGGCGGAAAGTTGGAATATAGCGTCGGTGGAACCGTTAGATGATACAAATTATTTCCTGTGGTGTGAAAAGATAGAAGGAATATTGAGGTCTAAAAAACTATGGAAAAAAATCATAGGGGTGAAATCACTGAAGAAACCTGAAGAAGAAGATGCTGATTATGAGGTTAAATATAAAGCATGGAACGAATGGGATGATGACAACTATGCTGCTAGGACAATTATCTTAAACACAATGACTAAGGCACAACTTTTAAGATACAGTCATGAAAGGAATGCAGACAAATTATGGCACTCAATTAAAAATAATATGGCAGCTGAGACAGAGCAATTAAAAGCGAGATTCTTGAGTGAGTTGTCAAATTTACAAATGAAGAAAGAGGAAAGTGTGGATGCATATATAAACAGAGCCGAGGCCCTAAAAAATCAATGTATTCTCTTAGGTAAGTCAATAGAGGAATATGAACTAAGAATGTATGTTTTGAAGGGTTTGAGACAAGAGTTCGACCAAAATGTAAGAGTGCTAGAGTGTCAGAGAGATGTGACCATCAATGATATAAGGTACACACTAAAACAAGAAGAGCTACGTAAGGAAAAGAGAAGGGGAGAAAGGGCTGGAAGAGACAATGAAAGCGTAAGGGAGGTGAGAGAGAAACCAAAGAGTGAAACATATTGCTATAATTGTGGGAAAAAAGGGCATATGGCAGAGGAATGTTATAGTAAATTAAAATGTTTCAATTGTCAAGGACATAATCACATTGCAGCAGAATGTAAAAAGCCTAAAAGGTTTGTATCAACACGAGGAAGAGGACATCGAAGAATTGGTAGAGGAAGATACAATTCCCATGTACGTGGAAGAGGAGAAGCAATGATGCGAACCGATGGTGAGACTGTATTGCAGGTAAATGAGAAAATATCTATGGAGAGAACAATAAAAGAAGACTTAGAGTGGGTATTAGACTCAGGCTCGACGAGTCATATGGCAAACAGTGCGAGAATTTTTGAAGTGATGGAACAAGAAAAGAGAGAAGTAACTATGGCAGATAAAGAGGGAAAGAAGCTGATTTCAAGCGGAATAGGAGAAATTGTCATGAAACAACAGGAGATTCAAAACAAAGTAAGATTAAAAAATGTATTGTATGTTCCCAATTTAAATGCAAATCTACTATCAGTTGCAAAGGTTACTGATAACGGATACAAAGTATTATTTGACAAAGATGGTGCAATGATATATAAGAATGAGGATGAAACACAAATGATAGCTGTACGTGAAGGGAATGCGTATTATGTAAAATCAAAGAGTGTGAATGAAGAAAAAGCAGCAACAATAAAAGAAGATGATATTTGGCACAAAAGGCTCGGACATGCAAACAAGAGAGTAATAGAAGAAATGAAGAATGAAGACCTGGTTGTGGGGATGGAAGAAAAAAATAAAATAGACGTTCAATGTGATTCATGCATTGAAGGAAAGGCATGCAGGAAAGTCCATCCAAGAATTGTGAAAAGGAGAGCTAGTAATATAATGGAACTGTGGCACATGGATCTAATTGGGCCCATCAAACCCTCAACAAGAGGCGGAAGGAATTACATATTTACGATAATTGATGACTATTCGAGAGTAATTTTTGTATCATTGTTACAGGAAAAAAGTGAAGCGGCAAATGAGTTAAAAAAAATTGGTCGTTTTGAGAGAAAACGAAACTGAAAGGAAGTTGAAAGCAATTCGTTCCGATAATGGTGGAGAATTTATTGGGAAAGACCTGGAAGAATGGTTGCAGTTAAAAGGCATAAAACATGAGTTCAGTCCAGCAAGAACGCCACAATGCAACGGAGTTGCAGAAAGAGGGAACAGAACGGTGATAGAGATGACAAGAGCCATGATGTCAGACTCAAAAATGCCACTAGATTTCTGGGGTGAAGCTGTATGTACGGCAGTACACATAAGGAACAGGATTAAATCAAATGTTCATGGAAGGACGCCATATGAATTATGGTATGGAAGAAGACCAAATATAAAGTACATGAAAAGGTTTGGCTGTGTTGCATACATATTGAATAAGGAAGGGTCGAGACAAAATTTGACCCGAAGACAAATACAGGAGTATTTGTAGGATATGCAGCAAACAATACATACAGAGTATATATTCCGCATATGGAAAAAATCCGAAGTGATTGTGATGTGAAGTTTGATGAAAGTAGGAGTGGAGGAGAATTATTGAAAATTAAGGAGAGAGAGGAACATGAAGGAAATGATGTTGTGATCATAGAGGGACTAGACTTTGAGAATCAGGACAAAGAAACTGAACTAAATGACGAAATTGAAGAAAACATAGAAGTGACAAGCGGAACAAGGAGTGGTGATGATGAAAATGCAATTGAAGAAATGGATAGTGATGAAGATGACTTACTGAGAGAAAATGAAGACGGAAATCGTATAGAAATAAGAGATAGAGGAAGACCTTTAGGAACGACCAGAGAAGTCATGGAATTACGGAAACAACAAGCACGAGAGGAAGAAGAGCAACGAGTCAAAGAAAGAGATGTTAGGAGATCAGAGAGAATAAAAAATCAACATTTAGCAATGTTAATAATTGATGAAGTAATACCAAAGAGTATACAACAAGCCAAAGAATCCGATAATTGGAGCAAGTGGAAAGAAGCAATAGACGAAGAAATGAAATCCATGATAAGACATGATGTGTGGGATATTGTACCACGTCCAAGCAATAAAAAAATCATAAACAGTAAATGGGTCTTTAATATAAAAGAAGATCCGAGTACGAGTGAACGGCGTTATAAGGCACGTTTGGTGGCTGTAGGATGTGGACAACGTCCTGGATTTGATTATGACGAGACCTTCGCTCCAGTTGTTCGGACGGAAACAATTAGACTACTATATAGCATAAGTGCCGAAAATGGGAGAAAAATAAAAATGTACGACGTCAGAACTGCTTTTTTGCATGGAGTTTTACAAGAGGAAATATATATGGAACCGCCGATGGGATATCAGGCAAATCAAAACAAAGTGTGCAAATTAAAGAAAAGCATATATGGGCTGAAGCAGGCAGGAAGATGCTGGAATGAGTATATGACAGAAGTGTTCATAGAAAGCGGATTATGTCAATCAAGAGAGGATCCATGTTTGTTTTATAAAAAGGAAGGAAATGACCTATTGTTTTTCGGCGTTCACGTGGATGACATTGTAGCGGCCATTGTATGGCCACTACGCCCTTGCCAGAGTATGAATGGGAATGGAATGTAAGGATAGTTTTAAGCTTTCTATTTTTCCATTTTCCCAGGGTCTCGTGCGAGCCTGGTCGTCCTGTTAAACACTTGGCGACCAGAGCCGTGCGAGGCGTCTGTTTCCCCTCAAGGTTTCGCCTGGGCCTCGGACCACCCTGATCCGGGCCCGGCGAGCCTCTTGACTTTTATGACTCTCTTTCGCTAAACTTTTCCTACACTGAGTATTTTCCAGTTTCGTTTTTCCGTCTTTCTGTCCTGTCTCTTTTTCTCTACCTTTGCTATTAGGGTAAGAAATTGTATATATTCAGGGGACGTGAGAAGAAAGACGCCCAGTCTATTTTAGACCCGAGTCTGGCTAAGACGTCGCGCGTTTGCGAAGCCAGTTTTAATAACTCAACATAATAGTGGTATCGAATAGCGATGAAATTGAAGACAAGTACAAGAAAAAATTAAAAGAAAGGTTAGATATAAAAGATTTAGGTGAAGCAAAGAGTATACTGGGAATACAAATTGATCAAGAGAAAAGAATTATACATGTATATCAAAGAGAATACATAAAGAAATTATTGGAAATGTACGGGATGAGAGAATGCAATACGGCTACAACTCCAATAGACCTAAACGTGAAGATGGATAATTATGAAACAAGCAAAAGATGCAACATAAAAGATTATCAAGAGCTCATGGGGAGACTAATGTTTTTGAGTGTCCACACACGACCAGATATTTCATATGCACTAAACTGCCTGTCACAATTCAACACTGATCCCAGAGAGATGCACATGACAGGATTAAAACGAGTGCTGAGATATTTGAGAGGCACAATTGATTATCAGCTAACATTTGGAAATAAGTGCTCCAGGAATGAAATCGTTTGTGAAACTGACGCGTCATGGGATAAAACAAGAGATGCAAAATCTTTTACAGGAGTATTAATCTATAGAAATAGTGATTTGATTTTTTGGAAATGCAAAAAAACAAACTGTCGTGGCATTGTCATCAACGGAAAGTGAGATGGAAGCGATGATAGAAGGTGTGAAAGAAGTGATATGGACTGATAGACTGTTGAATGAGATTGGATTGGGAAAAGAATTAAGAAAGGAAGTTAGGTGTGATAGCTTGAATGCAGTTAAGTTAGCGAATGGGGGCAATTTTAAAACTAAATCCAAATTGTTGAATCGAAAATGTTATTTTATTAAAGAAGCTGTAAAGAGAGATAACATGCAAGTATTACATGTTCCAAGTGATCGGATGAAGGCTGATTGCTTGACTAAGGCTTTGAGCGGACCCAACTTGTTGAAGAATGTTAAAGGTTTCATGGATGTTAATAACAAATAAAACCAAGGGGGGTGAGTGTGGGGTTATTTTTATTGTGTGGTATGCCTGGTGAGTGAGTAGGGAATGAATGAGTGTGGATGTTGGCAACGCTGGGGCGCGGAAGTCCCATGTATGGAGAGAGTGTGATGCACACGTGGAGAGAACATTGTGAAAAATATATATACGTTAATTTGTTAAACAGGAAGAGGCTTATTTAATTTGACTACCAAAGTCCTCCCACACAATTACATTAATTTGTGATTCTCCTGTGAATTTTTCAACATTTGTCTGTCACGATTTTACTTAACATTCCAGTGAGAAACGTAAACGGATCGGTCTTCAATATCACGAAGATAAACAGAATGCAGATGGGCGGATATCTGTGCATCGCTTCCAACGGAGTACCGCCTACAGTCAGCAAAAGAATAATGCTCACAGTGCATTGTGAGTAGATTTTTCATATTACAAGTAAATATTTTAAACGTCGAATTGAGTTCACAGTAAATTCAAACCGCGTTTCGTTTGCCGGGACTTTGCAGTTCCTCCAACGATTTATATACAGAATCAGTTGGTAGGATCGAAGGAAGGGCAGGATATGACTCTGGAGTGTAATTCAGAAGCATTCCCGAGATCGCTGCATTATTGGAAGAAGGAAAACAACGAGACGATAGAATCTGGTATTTGAAATTAGCTATTGCGCCCAATTTTCATTACACGGTGCCTATAGTTAAACAAGCAATACAAATTCGATTAAGTTTGAACAAACACGTTCGCGATAAACAAAGTAATTCTACCACCGACTATTGCCATTGAGAATTTTGCTTGTTTAATTACGATTTAATGCACTAGCATCTGTGTTTTCGATATGCATGCAAGTCCTTTCATTTATCTCTTGGTTAAAAATTATTTTCAATTTTATTTTTAAAATGCATAAACCGTGAGGTTTGTCTTTTTGAAAATTTGTATACATATTAGTTTGCACATATTAAATAGGAAATATACAGGGTGTTCGGCCACCCCTGGGAAAAATTTTAATGGGAGATTCTAGAGGCCAGAATAAGACGAAAATCAAGAATATCAATTTCTTGATTGAGGCTTTGTTAAAAGGTTATTAAAAAATTAAATTAAAATATTTAAAATCATTCTGAAAAAATTATTTTTAGTTGTGGAGCTGAATTACAATCATTTTTGGTGAATAGACATACCCCCAAAATCCTACACGCTTTCGATAAAAAAATTCTAATACGTGGACAAATTTTTCGGAAAAAAAAAATTTCAAATCGTTCTGGAAAAATTATTTTTAGTTGCAGGGGTCAATTACAACCATTTTTGGTAAACAAACATACCCCCGAAATCCTACGCACTTTCGAACAAAAAATTCTTTACCGAAACTATAATGTCTGACTAGAACTTATTTTACTGAAATTTCATGCGTATTGTTTCAACTACGGTATCGACTTGAAACGAAATTCGTTTTCGAAGGCTTTTCATCATCTATCCGATGAAAATTAAAAAATTTCGACATAGTTCGTAAAAGTGTCGATACGTTTAATGTTAAGAAGGTCTACGATCCCCTTGCCTCGTACTTCACGTTGTCTTCGCGTTAATGCGAAATAATTTAAAACTTGTACACGCAGTGTTAAATAAATAAGATTAAATAAAAATGTGTTCCCCTTCCCCCGTATTACGAGATTCACACATTTGTCGTTACTGTACTTTCGCATTTGCACGTTTGTAATGGACGTGTTCCTGGCCTGCTAATTCACTGAAGAGCGATTGAACCGTACTGGCCAACATAGTTAACGCTGTTTTATTAACGAATGTACGCACGGTACACGACACATATGTACCGTACATTACTGGAACGGTCTAACAACGTCGCAATGGGATACACGAAAATGCATGGAGCAATAATTACTTCGAATAATGAGACTTTCGTGCTAAACTTTTCGAGCACGAGGATTATTTACAGAATATTTTAGCGCCACGTTTGTGCATATAACAATACCGTTTTATGCACCGTACTGTGCCTGCGAGTTAAACATTGCTGTATTAATTCTGCAGCAAACACGAGAATATAATCTAACAATAAATTATTCAAAAATAGCATTTTATATTCCTGTCTCTAGAGAAAATAAATCCTTAGTTGGTATCGTATATTCCCTTCAAAATATAAAACAGGGATTGAGCAAGATATTAATTATGAATAAAATAAATACTGTCGCTGGTCTGTTAAAGTACCCCATAATACAGTTTAGTTATTAACATTAATGTTGCAATGAAAATAGAACAGAAATTATAAATTCTATAAAAATCAAGTTCAAAGACAATTTTAATAATTAGTTTTAATCCGTACCACTTTACTTGATTATTAAACTCCTTTTAAGCGTAACACTGCGTTTGCAGACAAGTCACATTTAGAAACTTCTGCGAAGCCTCAGAAGTTTAATTAGGCGAGATTCGTAATTTTAAACCGCTCGGGAAAGTTTACGTGGTTAAAAACTTTGGTAAGTGACCTTGACTGACCTTCGACCATCTTGAAACATAAACGGTATCTGTTTCGAAGGACTCATAAAAATTCTTGGTAGTTTCGTTATTCAAGGTCTCTGCTGTTTGGAACGTTTCGAAAAACTTTTCTAATCTCCGCGTTCTTTTGTTTTTCTTTTACTATGACAAATATATATATTATTTCGGCCTATCTTGTGACAGGTAGATCCGAAGCATTGTATTGAACATGTTGCATTCACTACTCGATTCGGATATGCCCTAAGGCGACTCGATGTTCTAATTATGACATGCTTTACCGTTTAGATATCTAAGGCTTGGTAACTTGCCTTGTATTTTGCCTTCCGACTGATGTCTGCATTAACGTAATAACGAGCTAACGAGCATGTTATCCGAACTAACATCGTGACAACGACGAGGTGTCTTTGTACGTGGAATAACAAAATCACAGAGAGGAAAAAATGGCGAGGAATTTGCATGACAAACGCGGTGAAAAAACATATTGCAACTGAAATCATATACCTGTCTCTTATTTTTTCGTTTCCTTCCGATACGATTGCTATTTTCGCGTGCTTTTAATTTAACTTTTGTTGCTAATTTCGAATCTTGCATTTTATCCTAGCATCGAAATTTCATTTTATAGTTCTTCCAGTGGGGGGAAATTAAATAAAATCAAGACTCTACTCTTTCCGAAGAAACTAAACAAAATTATTCAATTGTACTGTATTTGTCTTTAAATTAAAAATAAAAATGGTTCGAATTTAATTTCTAATTCATAGAACACACCTCTCATCCTTATACAACAGTGTGAAACGTTCGGTATTTTCACAATAATACGTTCGATTATTCTTTTCCGCGCGCACGTGAGAATTATAAACCGAAACACGGCGAATAAAGAAACAAAAACGTTTTACAGCCGAGTTGTTGCATATTGATAATACGTATTATTGTTTGAGCGCCGTGTGGAATCGATGACACGATGTATTTTTATTTATGCATATTTATTTCGTTACCGATTCAATGATGTTTATCGCGGAATACAACGGAAAACACAAAACTCAAACAAGTGGAAAGGTTCTTCCAGATTATCACTTATCGTTTAGTCGAACCAATTTTTGAAAATAATTAACCTAGCTTCGTTACTCGACTATCGGAGCTTGCATGAGTGTATTGGCACTTGAATTTTTATTTATGTTTACGGGACGTTCGGCCAACCCTGGGAAAAATTTGAACGGGGGAGATTCTGGAGGCCAAAATAAGACGAAAATCAAAAATATCACTTTCTTGACTGAGGCTTCATTAAAAAGTTATTAAAAAATTAAATTAAAAAATTTCAAATCATTCTGAAAAAATTAGTTTTGGTTGCGGGGCTCAATTAGAATCATTTTTGGTTAATACACATACCCTTGAAATTCTACCCACTTTCGAAAAAAAAATTCGAGTAGGTACTGAAATTTTTAGACGAAATTGACAAATTTCAAATCATACTAAAAAAAATTATATTTAGTTACAGGAGTTAATTACAAGCATTTTTGGTGAATACACATACCCTCGAAATCCTACTCAATTTCGAGAAAAAATTCGAGTAGTTGAAAATTTTCGGTGAAATTGAAAAAATTTCAAATCGTTCTGGAAAAAATATTTTCAGTTGCAGGAGTCAATTACAAGCATTTTCGGTGAATAGACATACACCAGAATTCTTACGCAGTTTCGAGAAAAAAATTCCTTACCGAAAATCTAATGTGAGGCTAGAAATGCTTGCCCGAATTTTCATGCGAATCTTTAAAACATCATAACTCCTGAACGGATTGGACGATTTTAATGTTTCAGAAGGCAAATAATGCGTATTTTAGTGGAGAATATGTAGAAATTCTAACAGTATTGAAAAAGTTGTTCCTTGACACCGTAAAATGAGAAAAACCCCCTAAAACTGGTCCAATGTTCAAACGGCCATAACTCCTACAGTAGTAAAGGTATCTATATAAATTTATTAAAAATGAAAAACAAACTTTTAAGAAAAATGGACAGGGGAATAAATGTTTTGGCTACAAAAAGAAAATTTCAAGTCGGTTTGAAAAAATTATTTTCGTTTGGGGGGGTCAATTATAATCATTTTTAGTCATTAGACATACCCTCGAAATTTTATCTACTTTCGAGAAAAAAATATAAGAAGGTGTGAAATTTTTCGGCGGAAAAAAAAATTTCAAATCGTTCTTAACAAATTATTTCTGGTTGCGGGGGTCAATTACAATCATTTTTGGTGGATAGACCTACCCTCGAAATCCTACCCACTTTCTAGAAAACAATTCAGTACGGGCGGAAATTTAAACGTAAATAACTTTTTAACGGATCCTCAATCAACAATCATTGGTATTCTTGATTTTCGTCTTATTTTAGCCTCTAGAGTCTCCCGTTAAAATGTTTCCCAGAGGTGGTTGAACACCCTGTATATTTCGTTACCGATTCAACGATGTTTATCGCAGAATACAACAGAAAACGCAAAACTCAGACAAGTGGAAAGGTTCTTCAAAATTATTACTTATCATTTACTCGAATCAATTTTTGAAAGTAACAAACCTAACTTCGTTATTGACTATCTACTATTGACACTTGCATCCACGTTCGTTTGGTTTTGTAAGTGAGCTTCGTTCCTCGTGGCTGTCCACGCGATCGTAAGCTAAGATTGTTGGTGGATAGCGGGCAGCATCACGCGAACAATATTAAAAGAAAGTAACGCGGTGCTCGAGCAACCTCTGCAGAAGAGTGGGTTGCCTCAAGCTACTTACCAATGCCATTACTGTCCTTTCACCCTTCTCAACCATTGCACCATTCTAACCCGTCCTCTCTGCATCACAACGACTTGCACCCTTCTCGACCATTTCAAACCAGACGTTTTCTGGGTTCGTCGGGCCACGCATACAACTTTAATGACTCGTGATTGTCATGACTTCTGCTCTTTGCGCCGCTCTTTTCATTTCTAACGCGCGGTTCACCCGGGGAAAACGACGTCTGCTCTGTTGGTAATTCGTGGGCGAAAAAAAATTCTAAGCTCGCGAATACCTTCTGAAATTCAACGACAATGTTTAGATATTTGTACGCGGATTCGTTCGACGTAAACGCGCCCCATGCACTACTTTAATGACGCCGTGGTTGTCGTGACTTTTGCTCTTTGCGTCACTCTTCTCGTTTCTGAGGAATTTCGTTAACCCCTGAGAAAGAATTCCACGTTCAGTAAAATTTATATCGGGTTAATTATTATTGCCTGTTCCCTTGCATTATGCTTTATTACTTCTTGCTTGAACTAGAAGGAAACGAGAGGTTCGTGTAAAATGTATGTCATAAATCATACAAATATTTCGAATTTAGCATACCGTTTCTTTGAAATCTTCTCTGGATGCTCTAAAATTTATTTCTGATTTTAGAAATAGCACAAATCAAAACGTAGAAATTATTTTTATTTCGTAAAGGAACGGTCGCGTTAGCGATCAAGAATTTAGTTCTTTCATTGTTGCTGTATACAATGTCCGTGGATTACGAGCCGAACATCTCAAATTAGTCCCATAATTCTGCGCAATATACTAGTCTCGTTTCGAACGTCCAGCGGCGAAATAATGATCGTATAGCGTGATAAAATTCTATAATAGTTCTCCAACTCCGTTTCTTTCATTATTGGAAGCATATGGTATAAAGTTTCCTCGTTGTACATGACAAAGGCATCGATACACAGGATCTTAACGAGAAAGCTACGATAATTGAAAGTCGCGTTAAATTCAAATTAAATCGCTGCGATTCTCTATTGTCATAAAAAATAATCGGTTCCGGAAAAGAAACTGTTTCCTTATCTGCACGAAATTACCTGGTCGAGCCAAGAACCGATTCGAATTTTCATAACTCCTTCCAAGTGTCACGTAAAATGTTAAACAGTAACCGACAAAGTCGTAAGAAAAATTAAGATAAAAGAAAATAATAGAAATGCCCGTTCTGGAAACTTTAATAATTCTAAAACTACATTTTAGCGATTATTGATTACTGGAAGCAATCTTTTATAATTGAACTATACAAATAGTATTGAAAAATACGTTCTTATCATTTAATTTTAGTTCTTGTCGAGTTGTCAACGATTTCGTTTAAACTTTTCACGACGCTACTATCGTTTAAAAACTGTTGCTTTTCTCTTCCAGGGGCGAAGTATAACCTGTCGCAAACGATAAGTACGTACAAGGTACACATGTTACTCACTATACTATCGGTGAGAATGACCGATTACGGAACCTATAAATGCATATCACGGAATTCTATCGGAGAAACGGACGGCACCATTACTCTCTATCGTAAGTATGTTTACAATCTATTAAATTATAAACGATTTCAAAATAAAAATTGCTACAGCAGTCTGGAAGTTCTTCGAATTATTTTCACATTCTTTTTAACCGAAGAAATTTGATCAAAAATCGCAAACCTCTGGTGACTGATCTTTTAAAGTTTTTTTTTTAATTTCGTAAAAGTGTTTGAGCGAGAAAAATAGTCTTGGAAACGATTGCCAGTCGTTTCAGAGGGTGCAAATATCAAAAAGCAATTTATCGTCGCGATAAAGCGAGCCTTTCTATCTTCCTGAAAATCGTATTTCCGCGAATCGCCGATAACCGCGATCGTCCCTCTGTTTCCCGACGAAAAGAAGCCGCGGCTATCAATCCAAGCCGTAATTGTGTGTTCTGCGTTGCCCTACTCGCGGATCGAACTTCTTGACATGGCGCTTTAATCAACTATCCGCTCGATACGTTCCTGGGAAAGCTACTTAAACAGTCGTTCGGTCGCGATCGCGATTTGATGCACGTATCCGTATTAAATTTCCCCTCTAAATAGCAAGCAACCCTGATGGAATGAGATTTCACAAATTGAGCAATAACATTTTTAATGGACAGCCGAAATTAAACCGGAAAATTTATCTTTAATGTGCCGCTTTCTCGTTACTGGGTCGAACAGGAATATTTCTTGCCCTCCAACACGATTTATATTTAACAAAATGTGAAATCTATTTAAATAAACTGGGCCAGCCGTTCAGTTTTGCTCGTTGTAACAATTATATTTCATTTGGTTAATCGAAAGGATTTTATACATTCAACGATAACAAACGTACATATGTTTGTGCGAGCATTGTTTGTAAAATATGCAACCTACCGATTAAATTTACGTTGTTTGCAGATATTCCATCACCGACAACGGAATTGAAGACGACGACTACAACCCCAATCCCAACGATTCAGGAAGGTAAAATAAATTGCAACGTAATGCTTCTTTAACTGTTATTAATGCTACTCAGGGCGACAGAAAATTAATGGGTCTGATAAAAATAAAGATACCAATGTATTTATTTTCGTGCAAACAGTCCCCGATAGATTCGATAGATTAATTGCAACGATTCTATAGCAAATTAGGTGACTGAAAATTTATCCAATTTAAAAAAAAACAATATCGTTACTTTATCGTCGTATTGTACATTCGTACAGCTACTAAACACTTAATTTCTATAATGAGTTATTTCACGGATAATTCCCATCGTATAAAGAGTTGTAGCAGTAATAATAATAAATATCAGATACTTACGGATGAATATTACTATTTAGTAGTATTTATTTAGTAATATTGCTCAATGTAAACTAAAGGGAATTATTTAAATTATTTCTTACAAAGAATGATTATTAAAGCAAAGAAATGTTTATAAAAGGTCAGATAAAATGGTTAACAATGTGGTGGGAGCTGGGATTCGCATTTGAGAGCTTAAATCACCACGAAATTCTATTTTTCCTTTAATTCCGCAATGGTAACACGTTCACTGTCCAGACTCTCATCAGGCCTATCCAATCGCACAGCGTTATGGCCCGTATGCGGGTCATAGACCGTGAAAGCGTCAAGCCACAATCTACACTGTGACAAATGCTGTTGTAACGCGGAAATAGTAACACTGATATTTGCGTTTGATTGCTTTCAGTTGAAAATATACAAAACTCGCGACAGAGACCGTTCCCTGGCGCAGAACTCGGTCCAGATCAAAAATCGGATTCGTCGCTACCCAATATGATTCGAAACGATGGTACGTAATTTTTATCGTTACTAATAATCATCTTAAATATAGACGTTGCAAAACGTTGATCGGTATTTGTGAAATCAGCTTTCGAGCTTCTCGTAATAATTAATATTACGGTCGACTGACGCTCAAATTCGATCTAAGACTCGCGTAAAAAGGAGAATGTTAAAAAAGTAACAAATTTGTACCCCACCAAGCACCTAAAATAACTATAAGGCATTATTCTACAGATTCTGCACTTTGAATTGTGCACAATTGTTTATAGCAAGTACAATGGGAAAGTCGTGAAAAATGTGGTTGAAGTTGACGATGCTACGAAAGACGAATCATAACTTTCTGACTTCAAATGACTATAACTTTGAAGTGAATGCATAGAACGTAACAATTCCGACGCTATTTTGTCAAGATAAGTCAATATTTCTATAATATGCAAGGAAATGTTGCCCAGATTGTTGGTTAGTAACAATAAAGCGCAAGAGATTAAGATGATGTATTAGGATGCAAATATTCCTCAAAATACGTTTAATAGTATACTGTAACTCTTTCCTGGAATAGAATTAAATGCATTCAATATGAAAAACTGTTATTATATTTCATCCCCTTCTTCTTTGGATCATAATTTTTTAATGAATTTAACATTAACGATGACGTTCACAACATATACGATATGGTTGCTATCGTGCGATCTGAAGTGTTTATACTTCAGTTGGTTCAGCTGGTTCGTTACATTCTTGTAGAGTTGTTTATCTGGAGAAGATGACACCACTATGGTTTTCCACGATACTTTTTCTTTCGTCTGGAATTGGACCACAGTCTTATATGAAATGCTATCCAGTGCAAACCAAGCGATTCCTAGATTTTTTTAGATTTGAGATTTTATTTTATTTTGAAGACATGTTTTTACATTACATTTACATTTGTATTACGATTTTTGTAGTGTGCTCGTGTAGTGTGCTTTGTAGTCTAGTGCGATTTGTGTAATGTACTTTGTAGCCTAATATAATTCTTGTAGTGTATTGTAGCTCACGTTATAGTGTAAAATGGAGAGAAACTGTATTATTTGTAGCAAGTCACTTGCAAAGTTAGCTCGAAACAAATACCATAAGTGCAATGACAATTGCTATTGTATGGGATGCTATCGAAGCAGAAATGTCAATAGCACGGGTGACAGCACTTTTATAGAAGTAGATTAGTTTTATGAAGCAGTTCCCAGAGTTCAAAAGTGTTGCTGAACATTGACAGAAGTCATATGTCAAGAAAAAGGGGCATCTTTGGTTGCAGTTTACAGAGTTCGTTAAAAGTAAGGTTGGACTTGCTGCAATTGTTGGACATACTTGTGAGTGTAAAATAGGCCAAAGTGTAGTGGGGTGTTGTTCACATATGGTAACAGTATTATGGTACTTCGAATTTGCGCGACATCAAACATCCATACATTCACCTGCCAACTTCCTCAACAGATACTTAATCGAAGAAATATCATCTGAAGAAGAAGAGGAGGATGAAATATAAAATAGTTCTTCATGTTGAATGCATTCCATCCCGTTTTAGAGCTGAGTTACAGTATACACGTAAACATATTGTAGAATCAAGCCGGTCCGCCTTTTCCACTCGCTTCTATTGCTCTCCTCCACCGATCACATTCACCTAATCTCTCATATACACACACATACATGTACGCCCTGAGACAAAACCTACACGCATTCTGCATTCGTCTTCGCAACCTGGCAATCGATTAATTTATTTACTCGGTATGAACAGCTGACTTCGACTCCGGTCATAGCAATCAATTGACGCCTCACGCACTTTCACAACAACACACTCGGCCATCTTGCATGATATCTGCCCTCAAATATCCATTGTTCATTCTTCACCTGATGAGATATCACTAGCTTCATTAACCCACGGTTTCATGTGTTCCGCCAAAGTCGATGTCTGCTGCGGACCTTCGTGCTCGCCCACCTTACACACAATGGAACGATCATTCCTTAGGATTCTTTCAACTCGATACGGACCTAAGAATTTGGACGCAAATTTCAAACCCGGGCCGTACTGGGTTCTCTTTATAGCAACCAACTCTCCCTCTTTGTATTGCCGAGCTTTCTTTCTATGTTTATCGTATCCGCGACGATTTTCACGCTGAATCTTCAAAAAATTTTCCTTAGCTTGATTCCGCAGCTCTTCCCTGTTACTTTGAAACAAATCAATCCATTCCTTCTCTATTAACTCACGAATATCCGGATTATCCTTCATTCGTGGGTATGTCCCAAACAGTAACTTAAACGGCGTTGTACTGATGCTCCTATGAGGTGTTGCATTTAAAAATTTCTGCGCAATATCCAAATCGCGATACCACTCTTCCGGTTTCGGTGCCGACAACTTTGTCACTACTGGTATTAGCGTTCTGTTTACGCGCTCCACTTGACCATTAGCCCTTGGCATTCCCGCAGTTATTAAAATTTGTTCTATCGCTTCCAATCTACAATATTCCCGAAAATCATGAGAAGTGAAAGCTGTACCCTGATCAGAGATCATTCTCCTGGGATTTCCAAAAATTGACGATTGTTTTTTCAAACGTTCTATCACTTTGGAGGTAGCTGTAGTCTTCGTGGCATACAGCCACACAAACTTCGAAAATGCATCCACAACTACAAAAATATGCTTATAAGTCTTTCGCGTAGATGGAAGTGGTCCAAGATGGTCAATATGATATGTGTCTAATGGCACATTTCCCTTGTCAATAGAATGTAAAAATCCTTCCTGTCTCCCATGTTTCCTTTCAGCAAGAATACACGGAACACAATTACGCACCACTTTCTCTACTTTTGATTTTATATCTGCGAACCAATAGTCTTTCCTAACTAGTGTCTCCGTTTTCGCACTCCCGATATGACCGTTCTCGTGTACACGTCGAATGATTTGCGATTGCATAATACGCGGCACTATTAATTTTACGTCACTCTCAATTTCTTTAAATAAAAGGCCATTCCGCACTACAAACCCACTTAACTGTTTTTCATTCACTGCTTCAACAATCGGTTTCAAACTCTCATCCTCACACTGCGCTTTACGTAACCTCACAATCATACTATCCTCACATTCGTCTACTAACATACACTTTGGAAGCGGATTCCGGCTTAACGCGTCTACATGTCTTAAACTATTTCCCGAACGGTGCTCTATTTTATAATTAAACTCCTCTAATAAAAGAGCCCATCTCGCAATTCGAACGCACAAATCTCTCTTACGCATCGTTAATGTAAACGCCTGACAATCTGTAACTATTTTAAACGGTATACCTAACAAATATATTCTAAATTTTCGTAGGGCTTTAACTATTGCCAAAACCTACAGCTCATAACTAATATATTTCGATTCTGCTGGTGTTGTTTTTCCGCTTGCAAAGTATACTGGATAAAATTTATTATCATTACTATCACGCTGTAGAAGAATCGCACCATAACCATACATTGAAGCATCAGTATGTAATTCCGTTTCCGCTTCTAATCTATATAATTTCAAAAACTGGTCCATTGCTCAAAATAGTTTTTAACCTCGTAAACGCTAATTTTTCCTCTTCCCCAAAATGAAAGTTAACGTTTGCTTTCAATAAGTTTGTTAACGGTCGCGCAATCACGGAATAATTTCGGATAAATTTTCCTAAAGTAACCAGCCAAACCCAAAAAACTTTGATTCTGCTTGAAATTTTGTGGTTGGGGAAATCTCATAACTGCTTCTGTTTTCTTTTCCGACGGGCGAATGCTTCCGTCTTCAATTATGTGCCCTAAAAACTCTATTCTTGTCTGCAGAAAACTACACTTTTTCCAGTTAATGTTCAAACCGAATTCTTCTGCAACGCGCAACACTATTTTAAATTTTCTATACCATCTTCGTAATCTAATGAGGGAATAATTAAATCGTCCATATAAACTATAACTTTTTTCTTATTAATTAAATCCTTAAAAACAGCATTTATAAATTTTTGAAATACCGCTGGTGAATTACATAAACCGAATGGAACATATAGAAATTCATATTGGCCGTTTGGAACTATGAAAGCAGTATATTTCCTACTATCTTCATCTATAAGCACGTGAAAAAATCCATTTTTTAAATCCAACGTACTAAAAATATGTGAACCTTGTAGAGCATCCAATTGATCTTCGATTAGTGGCAACGGGTATCGATCTTTAATTATTTTTGTATTAAGTTTTCTATAATCTATACAGAGCCTGGTTGTATTGTCTTTTTTCTTTACAAGTACTACTGGACTGGCATAATCAGAAAGAGACGGCTGCACAATACCGTCAGCAAGCCACTGCTTTATATGTTTGTCAACTTCTTCTTTTTCAAGAGGGGATAATCGTCTAGCCCTCTGGTAAACTGGTTCATCATCTTTAACCGTTATGGACATTTTTATACCCGTTTCTCGTGTTTTGACCGGTTCATAATTTTTTATCGAATCGCGAATGATGCCTCTATGTTTGGTATTGGAAATATTCGACAAATCGATCTCATTTGCTTCATCTATACAATCTATTTTGTAAATTTCGGATATATTACTGTCTAACTGATCTTCTTTTTCAACGCTACGAATAGAAATCTCGCCTCTCTTAATATTCATTTCAACTGCATTTAAAAAATCGGTGCCAATTATCAAATCATGTTGCATTAACGTATTAGATATTACCCAGATGTTAATTGGGTATTTATTACCATCGATTTCTATTTGCGCATTGAACTCGCCTATTGTTTTGTTACTTTGAGATCCAATTCCGCAAAATGTAATTTCTCGTCGTAATAACTGTGGTGATCCTATTTTCACATATTGCTCTGCACGCATTACCGACAAATCACTACCGGTATCAACTAGCGCTGTTAAATTCTCTCCATTTATCCTTACTTTCTTATAATATTTTTCGCGCATATACCGCGAAATATCACAAACGTTGTTTACATCGTCCTTCTTTGAACAATTCGCCGCTACGTGACCAAATGCTTGACATTTA